CCCCCCCGTGCGTGTACGGCAGCAGAGCGACCACCACTGCCCCGTCTCCACCTGCTTCTTTCCACACTCCAAGATGATGGAGTAGCAACGCACTATTTCATCTTCTTTTCCAGCACACACTGCATTAACCATATTTTACAGCTGTGCCTGCCTTAATGGAGAGAGGGGATATTTAATGCCTTGGCATTTATTGTTGTGAGCCTGCGATATCCTGCCCCTGGGCTTTGCGGGCCTCACTGGGCCTGGCGGCAGGACCATCAGGCGCGGGACTAGAGACGGGGTTTCCCAAGTGCTCCGGCTCCCCCTGCAGCTACCCTGCTAACTTGACACCAGAGGGCGAGGAAGAAAGGGGAGACTGCAGCCCTGCAGAGACAGCTGAGGGCAAAGGGGCCTTCGTGATTGTCTCCAAAAAATGGACAACCAGCTAGACTTCCTTTCTGACACATCAGTGAGCACTCCGGAGCTGCTGGGTAGGGCAGAAGTTGTGCTGAAAGTTCACAGCCTTTCGGGATGTGAACCCTAGTCGGGATTTTGACGACCTCTCAGCACAGCTTTGCCCGGGCAGGCTGCCCCCAGCCATTGCAGATTAGCAGGCTCCGCATCCTGGCCATGCTTTAACGTATTCTTGTTCTCCACAGACCTCTTTACAGCTTCTCCTAGGTTGCTGTTAAAAAAGGTCTCAGATTCTAGTCTGTAAGTCGTCCCTGCAATCCATGTCTGCTTTTTCTGTGTTATTTCTTTACAGTTCACCTGGCATACCCAAAAGCCAACTGCATTTCATTGCATCGATGACAAGATTCTTGCAATCCTGTGTCTTGCTCAGCATCCTCCTAGAGAGGAGAGCCAGAGGAATTCATTTTTGAGCAAAAGGAGAGAATTTAAAACTTCTTATTAGCGGGTGTGGAAGACCCTGACAGCACTGCTCAAGAAAGTAAACCGGCTCAGAAGAGGAACCCTGTCAGGTAGATTTACAGTGGCTGCTAGGTCGTACAACGGTAAACTCAGCTAGAAGACCCTACTCTCTGTGAAGGAGCAAAGGAACTGTGAAGCGTATGGGGAGGAGCGCAGCAGAGAGGGGGTCGATCGGCCCCCAGACCGCTGTTTGGAGCATGAGGGTGTGCAGGGTTGGCACTCCTCCCAGGAGGGTGGCAGGGGTACCGACCATCACAGCATGCCTCCAGAGAGGGGACAGGCAGAGGCTAAACCCAGGCACTGCTGGAGACCCTCAGGCCTTCCTTGGCTTGCAGCATTTAATACATTTCACAAAGGGCTTTCTTAGCAGCTTAAAGAAGCAGATTATTTTCTGGCTTGTGACTTGCTTCAGGCTGATCATGTAGGAAAGACCAGGCCTAGCGCAACCCCTGCTCTGTGTTCCTGAAGCAGAATCTTCACTCACAGCCCAGTGTGCAGAGCTTTGGGGAGCGGAAATTAACCCGTGATGTCCCCCAGAGAGGCGAAGAGAGAGCTGAGAGGCACTAAAACTCAGTCCTGCCATCTCCTTCTGCTATGGTTTGGGAAAGGCGATACAAGGATGCAACAGCTCACTGTGGAGCTGGACATGCAGACAGGTTTTTTGGTCTTTAGGTTGTGTGAAGGAGGCACAAATAAGGATGACGTTTTCAAATTTCACTTTTTCCTGTGTTCTCCCTAGAAATGCATTTTTCGGAGATTTCAGGTGCCAGGTCCAACAAGGGAGGGAGGTGGCTTTGGCTCACTGCCTTTCTTTGTGCCATCTCAAGCCCCTTTTCCACTCTGCTTGGGGTCAAACAGCCTCCAGTTGCCATCTTACACATAGCCCTTCCCTCACAAAGCCTCTGGGGGAGAGAAGACGTGGCACTGGCGTGTACTGTTACCACAAGGCCAGCGGCATTGGTGTTCGTAATCAACAGGCCGGGGCGGTCTGTGGCTTTGTTCACATTACCATGTTGTGGGCTTTCTAATACAGATCAAAACAACTGTCATACCCTGGGGCAAATGAAATGCCAGCGAGCACTTTGCCTTCTTAAAAGCTTTATTTTCTTAAGCTTAACATGTCCAATACCTCAGCTGAAGTCATACCTGGCTTTTTTGCAGTCAGCTGCTTCGATATCGTAGGAAGGTAAGAAAGCAGATGCTGAAAAGACAGCTCAAATTAGCGTTAAAACCAGTCACATGGAAAAGTACCTTTAAATACTGAGTAAGACAGAGAAAAAAAAGGCTATCGAAGTCAGAGATACCCACAAAAGCTAAAATCATTCTTAGGGCATGTGTGACATTCTGCAAAAGCCTGCAGGTCAGCAGTCCACCGGTCTAACATGACTTCTCTGCAGTCCACCCAATCAAGTCAACCACTTTGTTGGAGGCAAATCCACTTGAAAAATTAAAGCTGGGGACAAGTAGACTGGCTGAGCTCCCAAAAAGCAAAGCATTTCCAAGTACAATTTGCAAGACTTCAGCCAAGTGCTTGCATCTTTGTTGCCCAGAGGCTTTTTATTATTGTTCATGTGATGTGGCTTTCTGTCTGATCTATGGTGTTCTAACAGTACTTCTACCACTTCTCAATGTCATCTTCCACTTTTCGGAGGAGGAATTGTCTGGGTTTTGCCCTTTTGGGAAGATAAAGGAGGAAAGTTGGCAAATTAAAATGCGTTAATGCAGGCTTCCCTTCTTAGCACTTTTTTAAGACCAGTCCCAGTTCTTCCCTAAGTGTTTTGTTATTATTTAACCAAGAAGACTGGAAGTGAAGCCTCAGACCAGCTAGAATTCCTCCTCCTCCTCCTCCTGCTGCAAAAAGACCTTAGAAACCATCTGTAGGCCTCTAAAGAGGAGTATTTTTCTCTGATATCAGAGCTGTCAGACCAGCCTTTTCTTTATTCCCAGGGCAAACGTGACTTCTATGTGTGAAACCCTGGCTGAAGAAGCTCTTAAACACCTTGTTCTGCTCTAACATGACACGAGATAATCTTTCTTTGCCACCTCCCAATCTCCTCAACTCTCCAAGATGTGGTGGGCAGTAGAACAATACACCTACACTGAGTCTTTTAATACAGATGGCTGGTTAAGTCAGGTTTCAGTGTACAGTTCCCAAAAATCATATGGCTTCTGGGTGAGTCACATCAGCAATGTTACCCTTCCCTTTGCATTTGGACTCCTACGTACGCCACGGTTTTCTATGCAGCCATAGTTCATTTGCAGAAGGCATCAACAGCATGATCTTGGGTCATGAAGAACTAAATTAACAGAAGTTTTTTAATTGTTACAATCATATTTACCCACATGGATGCTCTGTGGAGTGCATGAAGCGTGCATTGGGTCTATTTGATTGGCTTTGTGCTTCTTCCATGTCTGATTCTCTCTCATGCCCCCTCAAAATGCTCTATCTGGAAAGCTCTGGAAGTTCACTTGCACTCATTTTAAATAAAGGTAACAACAAGTTTTGTTTTGTTTTGTCCTCTCTTTACCTACCTTCCCAGTTCTCTCTGACATTAAAATAAAACCTAGGTGGCAGCAGAGAAAAATTCTGACTCGACTTCCTCAACTAGAATATACACAGTTTTACACCAACCATTCAAGGAATTACAGGGCAAATAGCAGCAACGTCATTAGGACAAAACCAGAGTATTTTAATACCATTAATTTATTTAACATCAGCTTTTACCTTTATGTCAGTTGCAGCAAGCCTATTTTTTTTAGGAAGTCCTGTTCTCGTTCTCAGGGATGATAACGCGCTGCACATAAAACATTAGCCTATTTGGAGGTGCAACATTTGTCAGCTGAGGGTTGGAGAGGGGAAGGCCCCAAGACTGCAGTTACTGAAGCACACACGCCTGAGCGGGAGCGGAGTGGGTACTCCTTACTGAGAACTTGTCAGCCGAGAGAGGGAGCAGCAGAAATGAAATGAGATGCAAAGCAGGGGTTCAACAGAGAAAGAACGCCTCTTCAGCTTTGGATTCAAGTGTTCAAGTGTTAGTTCAACCTTTGTGTAAAGGGTAGGACTTATCATTTCTTAGAAGGTCTCTTCTTTCCTTCCTGGACTAGAATACTTGCTGCTTTTTTTGCTCCATGTTGCAAAAGCAATAATGTCACATGTTAATGTCCTGGAAATAAAATTTGAAGATTATTCAACAAAGACTCAGGTAACAGCAAAGGCTTGAGTAATTTGTATTCAAAAATATTTAATTTTCAGATGTTCGTTATATGTGTTAAATTCTTGGTTACACCAAAAGGATCGTAACATACAGCATCACAGTGACATATAATCAAGCTGTAACAGTGCAGTTTATTACAACTGTGTAAACAAAAATAAGTATTTCTGTAATGGCATTCTTCATGAACCAAATTCTGGCATACGGAATCTCAGCAGAAGTCAAAAGAAACATTTACAAAGAAAAGAAAACCCCAAATTGAAGTACACTATGTGGACCTGGCCAAAATGGACCAATCCACATTTCGTAAGAGAAAAAACTATCCTCAGAATTTTTGCTTGCTTGCTGTTAAGGAAACTTAATCTGAATTTTTTCAAGGCATCAATCAGTACACGAAATATTTTTACTATTATTGAATGATATGAACAAAGAGTAAACATCTCTTAATTATGACCATGTGAATACCTCCTACTGTGACATTATTAAAGGAGACGAGATGATTTGGGAATGTTATTGTCTGTATAGCATGACACCTGCAGAAGATATTCCCTAGGAAATAAAAATAAGTTATTGAGAAATAAAATCCAACGTGCTCCATCAAAGAAACTTTCTTTGTGCATAAGTATCTAAGAGAAAAGGCAGTATCTTGCTTTCCTGTAACAGCAGTAAACGATTTGATTATAAGACAATGTACATACTGTAAACTGTAAAATGGGGGTTCAACTTGAAATACACTCATCTCAGATAGATTTTAAATATTAGCACCTAAAATGTAACGCTAGGATTTAAAATTTTTTAGTAGCTTTCAGGTCATGCGTTAGTTATAGCTTGCTTGACGGATACAATTTTGCCAGCAACATTTTAGTGTTCTCTGAGATCCTCTTAATAAAAACATATAGGTCTGAATGCCACTACATTTTACACATGTACCTTTCATACGGGAAGTTTTGCATATGTTTCATCTGCAGAGAGCAGGCCCCACAGCAGCAGGAGGTATAGATAGAGCAAAGACGTTACAGTTATTAAAAAATACTGGAAAACTGGGAGTACATGATGTAATTACAAGCTGGTATCTTCAGTTTACAGAAAGCTATAAATTTGCTTGTTTAAAAAGAGACATCCAACATGTGCTTACTCACATGCTGACACAGAGTTCATGCAAACTATTAAAAAAAAAACCTTATAAATTTTACCCTTCAGAAATACTGCATATACTTCATCCTCAAATAAAGTGAAGCCCCCTCAGAAACAACAGGGACCTAACATGCGATCGACTCAAGCAACAGTAATTGCTTCCTCTGTAATGAGAAGTGAACAGCAGTATCAAACAGGAAATTTCATTGCATCATACTTAATTTCGAACACTGTTAAGTCCAAATCCAGGTTCACTTGTCATTAAGCAATAAACTACCTTTAAAAAAAAAAAGTTATTTTCTTGGAGGAAGGACATTTTCTTCATAATAGCCGGGATTTACTACATTTCCAGCTGGATCATATCTAGCCACCACAAACGTTGAGCCATCACTAGCAGATGCTTTTCCGACTCCCATCTTTTTTGTGTTCTTCCAAACCATTGCTGTGAAGTGACCTGAAGAAAGGGAGATAAACGTATGCATTCATTTTAGGTACTAAACCTATAACATTCCCTTTCACACATGAGGTGGGGGGAGAAAGAACTATACAAATCTGTTTCTTTCTCTGACAGGAGAACGAGCTGAGGACACGAAAAGAAAACTACATCTAGTATTTTGCCTTGAAAAAGCCTGATCTGATCTGGTTCCACACTACTATTCCCATTTCCATGTCCTATATCCAAATAAGACCACCTAGTATGAGAATCATGAAAGAAGTAGTTTGATGAGTATCTGATATAAAATTCGACAAAGAAATCACGGTCTTCACTCCCTGCAGTGTCAATAGCAGTTCTGACAGCGACGATTATTCATTCGCTTTGACCATCTCATACTCCCCCACGTGTCTGCGTGTGCAACTACTCAAAATAACCCTGGTTTTGTGGCTTCTTCTGCCTAGCCGTAGTAGTCACCCCTGCATTGCACTGCTCCCTCCGTTGTACCCTCTATGCATAGACAGACCCCATGGGAGAAAAACATGATCTTCTTCATCTGAAACAAGCTTGGGTATATCTCTTGCTTGAGCGTTATTCAAGGAGCAATGTTCTTACGTTCACTCAACACCTGATTGTCAATATGCAGTCAATGGCCTGTGGCTGATCTCCAAATTATACCTGAAGTTATCTCTGTGATTGGAGTGATGTAACTTGGTAGAAGACACATGTCAATGTAAACAACAGCCTAGTTTCAGCTTTGGGACACTTATATGATTCCAATTTAGTATTTTCTACAAATTAATTTCCCTTAAAAATAAGTTGCCTTTTAAAAACTTTGGAGTCAGGGGAAAAATACAGTATTTAAAAAACCCACAAATTTTGCTTACTTCCTCATTTCTCAGTTTCCTTTTACCCTTTTGTGAGTTTTCTAACATAAAACTTTGAGGAAATCCTAATATTTTTTCCCCCTAAATTTTTTTCTAAGAAATAAAGGTAGGTTTTTTAAAAATACCAAAACAATTTGGCTAGCCAATTTCTTAAAATAAAAGCTGTGTTGTTGAAGAAAGTGTCCAGTCTGAAGTTACCTGTCCCAGAAGAAAACCCTGGGTTTTGAAAGCTGTAGTTTTTTATTTCACTGTACCATCTGTCAGCCACATCCTTTCCTGAAAGACAAAAGAAATTTGCTGTGGAATCATGACATAAACACAGAAGTGTAGCTCACTTACAGCTCGGCCAGCAAGATCTTCTGTTAATAGCTGGCAAGAACTTCTAGAAACATGGAGAAACAGTCTTTTTACTGAAAAGAGTTTTTGAAATGTAGATAACATGGTAGTACATGTAACTTACCAAATATTTATTGTTTTGCAATAGCTGTTGCTACTCAGTTACTAATTAGTCCACTGCTTTTTGTTAAGCATCTCATGCCATCAATGCCATCAATGACTTGAGTTCTGCTCGACGCAAACACAGTCCGCCAGTTCCTCCACTGGAGTGCCAGGGACCGCGTGGCCTGCACAGCCTGGCTCAAAGCCTGGGCAGGCAACCCACGAAACAGCTGTAGAACCAGGTAGAGTTCATCCCGTTCGGGGAAGATCTCTGCAGCAAGGTGCTCGTCTGGTAGGACAGAGCTGATGAAGAGCGCTATACTATCACCCATAGATCAGGAAACAGGACCACCCACCAATTCTCGCCTGCACTTAAAACTTTACAATGTTGAAGTCAGAAAAAACTTTGGACAAGAGAGGTCTGTGTGGCACAGCATTTGGATTGAGTTGGGGCAGAAGTCCCTTTAGTCCTCAAAGAAATCATCTTGCAATTTAACACAGATTTTACATTTTCTTCTGCCCACAACCTTCTGTAACTTTCAGCCTAGAAAGTAGTGAAGACACATCTCCGTCACCTTGGATGAGTGCTCCTGTCATTAGGCTTCTACATACAGCTTTCAGCAGCTCCTCCCTCTTGGAACGTGTTTGAAAAGACTTAAGTGGGCTTCGGGGGTGAAACGGGGGCAGGTTTTTCCCTGAGCTACATCAATAATGAAATTTCTGCTTAGCATTCCAGGAAGTATAACACAAGGCCAGTTGATTTCATAGCAGGCTGCCAACACTGTTAAGCCTACCATCATGAAGAACGCTGGTCCCTGGTGGACTGTTGGCTGCAGAACAGCAATGACTCATGTTTTGCTATTTTGCAGCAAAAAGTCTGAAACTTGCAATGTTCTAGAAGTCAGACGCTGAGCTGTTAACTCCCTGAAACTTCAGTTGCTTTATGAGTGCAGTCTGCTAAAAGGATGGCGTTGTTAGCCTGGCAAGCTGGCTGTCAGAGCTGTCACTGAGAAGAAAATATTGAATGAAATGCCATCTCTTGAGAGGTTTGTGAACTGAAAGTACTATGAACTTATCTATACCACACTGCTCGTTAGGAATGGGGCTCTCTTAGTAGAGTCAATTTACATTTTCTACAGAAAAAGGTAGCAAAATCTCTCTTGCTTCCCAAAGTAAATGTTTCAGGAATAACAATAGGTTCTTTCTTTCCCTGCTCTCCCTGCACCAAACAACAAACCCTGTAGACCTGCCTTTAGGCAGAAGTCTGTAATGCAAATAAAATATCTGTTCATTTGTTATTCACACTAAAGCTAAAATGAAGACTGAAAAATGTGCAAAGGGCGATCTTTATGCAATTTAAGGGGAAAAGAAAAAGCACATAGTAAAAAAAAAAACCCAACAATCATCCTCTCCCACCCTAGACTTCAAAGCTATGAAGGATTTAGATGTGTTTGTGAAAAGCTGGGTGGAACAGAAGTACAGAATGTGACTGCAGACATGTCAGATCTTATGAAGCACATGGATTTTGTGTGTACAAGTGCTTAAGTGACTATACTATGTGAGTGGTATTTTTACAGATGTAGGACTGCATTCCCACTGCTACCAGCACTTCATTCCCTCCATTAAAGTATCAGCGTGACATCGCATAAAGAGCAGTTCAAGAGAAAGTCATCCCCACTCCGCTTACTGTGGCTCTGAGAAGAGTACCTAGGCTCCATGTGACAAGAGCTTAAATCTCCGTAATGGAAATGTGGCAAGACACATGGAAGTTTTGACAAACACAGTATCTGTTCATAACTTTTTTTTTTTAATTTAAAGAATACCATCATATGAAAATTTCATAACCCTTTAATTCAAGGGAGATGGCAACGGCATCAGGTAAGAATACCTCAATCCTGTACATGAAAGACAACGCGTGTAGTTGGGTAGCACAATCTATGATGTGTTAATTCCCAGCCTTCAGGGATGAAAGCTTGCAACTTACTGCAGCCAGGCAGTGAAAGCCTAGAAGCTGATAGCTACGCTCCATTTATTCATGTGCAGGATCAGGTTATCATTATATGGCATTGCTGTCATCCTCCTTGCATTAAAAGAGTCATTGCATCATAGGCTGCAAGAAATTAAAGACTGACTTGTTCCCAGCAAAAGAGAAGGTAACCAAAGGACTAGGCAACTTTTGACAGACTCTGTCTTGAAATCGTGTTAAAGAAGTGTCCTGGAAGCAAAGGGAATGAATTGTATCTGTCATATGCCGCAGGAGATGAGGGGATTCCCACGTGGAAGTTGTTGCAAGAAGACAGGTAGGTACCTAGTGATTAAACACACTCTCTTTCCTCTGAAATACTTTTCTTCTGATTCTTTGCCCCTTGGGGAGCAGTAAACAATGCAGTGGTGGGACACAAGCCAAACCAGTGTTGAAAGTGACAGCTCATACGCAGGGGACTAAGGGAAAATTCTGTTCTGAGCCCAGTGACCCCTGGGCTTCCCAGGGCCTACAGAAAATGACCCGAGAGAGAACAGCAGAGGGGTCAGCAGAGCACTGAGCCTATCTGCTTTAGCAGCAACTTGCATGCTCAGACTTGCTGGTTCAGAGAACTGACCACAATATTTCCATTTCAAATTATTACGGAGTAAGTGATGCAGTTGTATTTAGTGCCAGTTTCCCTTGCATTTGAATGTTTCATTGGAAACAGTTCCCACTCCCCCAAAAGCTCCCCCCTCCAAACCAGGGGTTGGTTATTCTTCAAAATGCATTTCAATCAGAAGGAAAGGAAAGAAGAGAAATCTCACACCCACCCCTCATTTCCGATTATAGCAGAAATGATTGAAGTTTACTTCTACCGAAAAGCATGCAGATCTGTCCTACAGTCAGCGCTGCAGCTTCTCTTCTTTTGCTCCCCTTGCAGAACCAATTAGTAGATTGCTATTTTTTTAAAATATCCTTCCTCTTTGCATTGCTGTAAACCACATTCACAGTTTCAACACTTTCTCTATGGAAACATAGTTTGACTCCACGCTTCTCCTAGCGATAGCTGACTGATGACCTGCTCAGTTAGACTTACTAGATGTGCATTTTGGAACAGGCTGAATCTTGCTCTAGTGAGTTTCATCAGTACCGTGACTCTTTGGACATACCTACATTGCACAAAAACTTGGTAAAAGAATCTTTGAATTAGTACCCAAGTATAGTTCTGCCCAAGACTAGGTCCAGAATCACCATAGTGATTTTATTTACCCAAGCTATGAGCTAGTGACATGGCCACACTAACTGTGCTTCAAGCTGCCTCATATGGTCAGAGGATTGACCATATGAGGTCAGTCCATACATAGGACTAACAGTCCTGGTGTAAAGTTCTTCTGCTGACACCACTCTCTGAAGGGTAGAGAGATAAAAAGGGGCCACTGCATGTAAACAGGTGTCACTACTCTTGCCTGGCTATGCCCTGCATCTCATCAGTTGTCATGTTGTCTCATTAAATTTCATCCCTAACTATTCTCCTGGGTGAGGAGCTCTATTTTGTGTGGATGGGGGGCGGGGGGGCAGTCTGAGTGCCAACAACTGATATCAGACCAAAAGTTGCAGGGATCTGGGTGTCTGTGGTGCCTGCAACTGGAGCACTAGTGCGGGTGCGAGCGTGTGAGCACTATCAAAGCGCAAGCTGGACTACTTGGGGAGCAGGTGAAGTGGTCTGGGAGGAGTTGCTACAGAAGTGTATGGCCACCGCAGGGACAAGGGGGGTCTTGGCCAACGGGGAGGGAGCTGCGCATGCGTGTGTGTGAGATGTGCTGTACCAGCAACTGAAGTGGAAATGCAGCCTCAGGGGTTTGTATGTCCAGGTGCCAGCAGCTGGGGAGACTGGGATACAGGGGCAGCTACTGGGCAGACTGAGTGTCTGAGCCCAGCTGCTGCAGGGATCCACACTGGAATTTTACTTCCATTACTGAAATATCTATATTAGATATTTTATGCTATAGAAATACACATATATATATGAATATGTTACTGGAAAAAATATTTTATAGGTATATATTATATTATTTTTATATATTGCAATAACAGACTTCGTGATCAGCCAGAAAGGGGAACAGGATGAGGCCACTGGTGCTGTTTATGTGAATGCTAACTGCATCTGTCTGTGCTGATCTGTGTGGCCACCTGCATATATACACACACGTACATGCTGTATATGTGTGTTTGTGTGTGCAAGCCTGGGAATACACTCTCAGCCTCACTACTGGGGGCACAAAGCTGTGGCAGCCCTACTACCGTATTCTGCTCCCCCTAACATTTAATTTCTCTGGGCCCAGCCTTACTGTTTTTCCTCATACTAAAGAATCCTTAAATCTTCAAGTAATCCCACTGAGTAAGTTGCTAAAAACATTCTAATAAAATCACACAGGACATATTTCTGTGCAAGGATAGGCAGCACCATGGTGATCTACTTAAAAACTAGGTACCCCAAACCTCAGAATTTTCCTCAAAAGTTTTTCTAGCTTTTGTTATCACAGCCTTCCTTCCACTGGTCTGAGGGGAAAGAAGGTAGAGGTAGATTTAAATTTGCCTCAGAAATAAAATATCTACCTAGATTGAAGTCATACTAATGTATGTAATACTCCTCTATTTCCAGCATTCCTCATGCAGATCCTTATTTTATTCTACTCTATTTTATTTAACAGTACTGTATAAGCCTGGTGTTAGACAGCAAGAGATGCATCAAGGCAGGCTCTCAGTCAGAGCACGCTCCTCCAGGCCTGGGGCAGAGGGTGTCTGTGCTGCTCTGCCCACTAGTCGCGACCGGTAGGCAGACCCAGGGTTCCTCCCATAACAGATTTGGGTGATAACATACAGTGAATTTCTCTTACGAACTCTCTAGAGTTCATAAGCTGCAGTGTTTTCACAGGCCACACGGCATGTTCTTCACAACCACACCAGCCGTCCCAACCAGAATTTAGTCATCCAGTGCTTGCCTTCAGCCTCCCGACACATGAGAAATGAGATGAGGCATCCTGAGAAGCTTGACGTACTACAGCTGCCAAGGCAGGCTGCGGTCTCTTGCATTAGTGGCAGATGACAGCTCACTTATTTGAACACAGACAAAGAGAAGTCTGCCACAGAGCAGTTCCTGCAGGACTGGAGGGAGGAAACAGCTGTCAACTATTTCTTGGATTACAGGGATAAACATATTTCCAGCTACAGCTTTAGGCTCTGTAACTCTCAAATCCTAAATACAATTTAAGGTATTCCTGCACCAGGAGAGGGGTCAAACTAGGAGGCTCTTACAGTTGAAAGCTTAAATCTTCTCTGAAACAAGAAATACATCTCCTGGCATTATTAGAGAACTCAGTAAGAGCCAAAATAAGCAATAGCATCACATTTTTAGAAGGAATACACAGTATGCTGGAGGTTTATTGAGTTTTGCTTTATCTGGGAAAGAAACCGGAAGACACTGCCTGCCTTTGTTAAGCCCTTGAATGGATGCCTTAATACAAATTTCAGCCTCATTGAGCAGGGTACAAATTAACTATCCAAAGGGAACTATATGAGAAAAAGAGGAAGACTGAACCAGCTCCACAGAGATGAAGACTAAGCCCAGTCGAGAGGAGTAACTTTCTTTGAAGAACTAGTTTTCTCATTCCGGTACTTTGAATCATCCTGCTACATAGGAAATATAGAAGTGTTTTACAGAACAAAAGAGGATGTAGCTTAATTTTCTCAGCAAGACGTTCAATCCTGTGGATAAAAAAACAGCAACAAAATCGCTCAAAACTGGCAAG